CCTTCCTTACTTCATCTTTTCCAAGATGCTCTGTAATGTTCTCCACCCACTCACACTCCCTTAGCTTAGATTAATCAAACCAAAGACCCGTGTGGTTATTATTTCAACGTTTGTTTCCGTTTTATTCCTTATGTGCACAACTCCCGTAATGTAATGCCATACCGAGAGATGACTCGACACCCACGGTACTACTAAATTGGTTGTATACTAACACATTTGTCGACACAAATTGGCATAGTGGCTCAAGATCATACCACCCACAAGTGATAATCTTATATGATAAAGTTCTTACCAGTTTTGTATTAATATATTCTTTTATTTCTATTTAAACCTCACAATCTTTGTGTGTGGGTTTTCTTTAATAATATTCCTTCCTTTTTTCCTGTTTTCATATTCTCGTTTTTCCCTGACGTGTATACAACTTTTTTTTTCCCCCGTCCCTATTACCGTTGAAACATAGACGTCAACGGATGATATGTAACCCTTTCATTCAAATATATAACCATTTATATTTAAATAAATTTTGGTTGATAACATTTTATTGACCGCCATACAATGTCCGCTTATGAGGGTTTTGGCTGATCTAACAATACTCCTTTGTCTGCACCAATCTTCGTAATTGCTGCGGTTTGGATTTTACACCATACTCAAGGGCTAATTATGTTGAGGTTTAGAATTCAAATGTTACACAACAATTTCTGAGGAGAATTCTCTTAAAAATTAGTTAAGGTTAATAATTTTCAGAAATTTTTTTTTAGGGTGATCAGAAAATTCTTTCTCGCATTTTTCTTTCTCCTCCGAGATTCCGTTGAGGAATAAAATTTAACTGATTATTATTATTTTAAATATCCCATAGCTGCTTTACGACTTAAATAGCGACGTACTGGCCCAAGTCTTGAAAAGGAGAAATCTTATTTCTGTACTCATTTTTTTTTTGTTATTAAATAATTTAGTAATGAAGAAACAAATTTTAATAACTCCAAGTTATAGAAAATAAACATCAGGATATATGATAAATTATAAAGTACCTAATAACAAATAAGGTTTCATTATATGATCCAATGTATATATGATTAGTTTCCAAACCGAGTTTTTAAATATATTGCTAATAATATTACAAGAGAAGCAAAAAGAAAATATATATATTATTGGGCTCTATTTGACCTAGGAAAACCAATGAGTTTGTACTAATTTTTTTTAAAGGATTGACATGCTATTGATCGATGGATTTTATCATTGATCACCAGTAAAAAATAAAATAGTAGCATACTTTTTTTTTTTTGTGTTCTTCCCGACCTCGCCTTTTAGGCTATACTGGATATTTGCCGGGCCGGGAGGTGAGGGCGGGGAATTTAAAATCCCCTCCGGCACCGGGACGCGAACTCGTACTTTTTAAATGTTCTCAAATCTATAATCCGGTTGCCAGGCAACTCGCGGTGCTGTGCACACGCTTTAGCCCATTCGGCCACCCCGCCCTCCTAAAAATAGTAGCATATTACATGTTGAACTAAATGCTGGGTCAGGACTTGAGAGTAGTTACCCTGAAGAATACATATTTATACCCAGGAGTGCCCATCCCCTCCTCCCCCCCCAAGGCCGATGGCGCATAAACCTTCCCCCACTCTTCCCAAGATATTTTATTCCTCTCTTCTTCTTAAAAACAGTGTAAAAGAAAATATAATTTAAATATTCGTAGATTATATACTATTTCGCACCCCAAGGTCTATTCCATGCTTTCAATTGTCTTTCATTTGAAACTTTTTATTTTGTAAATTCACAAATCCGTCGGAATGCGCCATCAAAAATTGAAAACTCCGTCAAAAAGTTCTAACCTCATAAATTTTGATGGCGCAACTTGCGCCATAAAACTCCCTTCTAGGCACCCCTGTTTATACCTTAGTCTTGACAGAAGGTTTATTTAATATCAAAACTAAAGAGAAGTAGTTTACGTAGATGTTAAATGAGAACCAGAGACATTTTTAATGTTAGCTATTCTCCTATGTTAATCTGGAAAATGGTACAATTGTATTATTAGTTAATAAAAAGAATTTATGTCTTATGTCTCGGAAAAACTTCTTTAACTATTAGTAGGTTAGTTTAGTTGATCTAATATTACATTTTTTTTTATATGTCAAGTAATGGAGGCTTGTACCTCGGCGGAACATGAACTTTAGTAATGACTTCTGTCCAGATTTTTAAAGAAATGGCATTGCTGAGCCTTCTAATGGTACCGGAATTGCGAAAGTGACATCCCGAAAAAAGTCTGTGTCACCTTCCAATTGAATGGGATTCGTGAGAGATGCGCTTTCAGAGCTGTGTCATCCGGCGAGAACTCACGAGAACACCTGCCTAGTCCCTGGTCTCGAACGTGACGACAATCCCCGTTTGCAGAACCCCTTCTCATTATGTTTAATAACTGTACTCACACCGAGGTTCGCGTTGCGTTGCCGCTTTTAATAGCAGGCACCAGCCGTGAACCTTGTAAGCCATCCACTACGTTGCGGCAGTCCTCTGGATGGGTCAGGGTTCGATTAAAGGGTTGCCGGGTCGTCAGTGACCACCTAAATCAAATATTTTGTTGGAATCTATTTGTTATCGGAGGGTTTATTTAATTGGTTGAATAAATAAATAATAATTTGTTTGTTTAGAAATTTAGTTTCAACCATAGACATTATAAGAGTGGTACCGTATGATGGTTGACTGTAGTGAATAATCCAAGAGAAGTTGGTTGGGGTGTTCAGTTAAAAATTAACAAATTAAAAATAAATAAATTATATTTATTTTTATATCTTTCGACGTTTTGGCCAAATTTAAAAAAAAAATATTAATAATAATGTGAGCAATATTTTTTCATATGTTCCATACATTATTATCAATAATATAATTTTTTTTCATAAGTTAATAATTATTTGGTCTTTTCTTAGCCCTGATGGAGGCCGAATTTTGGGCCGAAACGTCGGCAAAAATATAATTAAATATCATTTATTTATTTTTAATTTCTTTACTTTTGACTGAACACCCCAAACAACTACTCTTCACTCGTAGACATTATACAGATATTTCCTTCCAACTGCAGGAAACGTAAAATATATTGTTCACGGATCGATATACAAATTATTCACATAGCACAACTAATTGTTAATATTAATAAAATAATAATAACTTTTGTATATAATATAAATAATAAATATTTTTTTGTTTTCAAAATTTATTTCTTCATCCTTTCCTCCTATAATTAGTGATAAACAAGGAGTCTGCTGTCAGGAAGAATAATAGTAATAAGGCATTTAAAAGTTTCAGGGAGTTGAAATTTCGAACAATTTTTGGTCTACGCTAAATGTCTCCTTTTCGAGCGGCATAGATATAAAGTGATTTTGTTTTTAACTAATTATTTGTTTATGAAGGCCACTCAGCTCAAATTTAAAAATTAAATATTACAACAGACGCAATTTACTAAAGTTTTTATAGCAACATATTTTACTAAACTTAACAACATAAATACAAATCGCTAAAAAGAAATCAATGTCTTGAAATTCGAAAAAAATCCTTATAATTTTATTTTTGACTGTTTTCTACTTATTTTAATGAAATTGGTCATCATTCAATACTTATATATTACTTCATAAGTTATATTCATATAAGTGCATGAATAACTTATATTCATGAAGGAAGGAGATGGTCCGGGGGGCGGTCATAAATAGGCTAAATAGTGGTAAAACTATTTATCCCATTTATGCCCGCCCCCGGACCATCTCCTTCCTTTATAATGCAAAGGTCAACTATTAAATATCAATTCAACTTATATTCATATGTTTATATACAGATGGGCAAATGCTACTTTTAAGTACCAAGTAACGAGTATTTTACTTAAATCGAGTCACTATTGGGAATTCAATCACCTCTCCGGTTAATCTTTCGGCATCAACTGAAGTAGAAATTAAATTCATTGGTACTCAAAAAAGGTCATTATTTGGGTAAAATATTTGGGACTCAGTATTCAGAGTAGCATTTGCTCATCTCTGTATAAATTAATATTATCTGTGCTTTCACAAGTAGTACACGTTTGTAAGAGATCTCATCGCTCGGCTATAAAGCTATATGCACTATAGTGCCAACCGAAAAAAAAAAAAACAGTATTTCTATTCTTATAAATTTTTCTTATTTTGTTATTTATTTGTGAGAATAAGATTTCAAGTACACGTGTCCGGGATTGCTTTACAAACTCCGCAAATTCCTTCCCCCTACATATTTTCTTATCATCAGTTCCTACCTTAGTGATAGACACTTCAAAGTAAATCACAGTAATACCTATTTCTCCCTCTTTTCTCAATCTGCCGGCGTTCCTCAAGGAAGTATCCTTGGTCCTATCCTTTACACAGTTTATACAGCTGATATCCCAACCCATCCTAACACTGTCATCAGTATGCTGATGACACATATATCCTGTCAGTTAATAATGATCCAACAATTACATCCCAAACTCTTCAATCACACATCACAAACCTTGAAGAATGGTGTCAAAACTGGAGGATTAAAATAAATTCCAATAAATCCGATCAAATCACCTTTACCCTTCGTCGTAAACCAATGACTTACTGCCCTACAGCATCCTTTAATAACATCCCACTTATCGCTGTTGAACAAATCTGATATATAGGACTCCAGCTGGACAAACATATCACTTGGAATCCTCATACAAGACTGAAACGACAAGAAACTGCTCAACGTTTCCGCTTACTCCAACACTTAGTGGAAAAACTCACTAAATTTGCAATTAATTACAAACGACTCATATACATGAGTTGAACTGTGGGGCTCCATTAAACCATCAAATTCCTCTCGTATCCAATCCTTACAATCCAAAATCCTTCGTAAAATCCTCAATGCTCTTTACTTTGTCACAAATAAAATAATCCATAAAGACCTCAATGTTCCATGTTTAGTGGCCATTTGATTTGGCCCAATCCAAATTAAAACAATTATTTATAAAACTATCTTACCTGGACCATGGAAGCAATGATGAAACCGAAGGCAATGGCGATTTGCAGTGGCGTCGGAGCGGCGAAAGCTCCCCAACTCAGACATGATCCGCAGCCCAAGAGGACCAGGAGGGCGGTACCAACCACCTCTGCAACGACCGCCTTCACTCCTTGGGCGGTGCTCCCGAATTTGTCCTTTTCGAATAAATCAGCTCCTGCAAGAACAGATTTCGTTTTAACTCAACAAAAAATTTGTTAAAGACAGATTTCGTTTTTACATTTGTTTCTGTTGCGTCGATATGAACATTGAAATAAAATAAATATAAATATTATAACATAAACAAATATTTAAAATACTTTTCGTAAAGCTGCATTTCTTCAGGAGTGAGTCGGTTTCACGGGACAACCATTCGCTCATTTAAGGAAACAATAACATAACCTAAAAAATACTGATTTAGAGCTATTCTCACAGCTGTAGTGAACGTTTAAATATTATTTGGTAAATATAGCTCGACCGTCAGTAGTTGGCATGTTGAGGGCGAACTCATGCGGGACGAAGTCGAAACTAACATTTTGTTTCTATTTATCTCTCCGATTTGTTTCTCATTGAATATCCGAACTGACCGTGTAGATCTTTTCTCGCCTTAACAAGCCAATTTAATCTCTGCCCATCTTGGGCTATTTCTTTCTGGTAATCTGCATGCACCTCTATTCCATCTTTGTTGATTCGATCTATCATGGGGAGTTTTCAATCTGAAGATAGGTAAACGAGATTCTACAAATTCATGAACACTCAAATAAGTATTTGACTGCTTCGCCTATATAACCTCGTTATTTTGACATGCTAGGGATGGAAAGTCACGCTCAACCGCCCAATACTTTTGTAGGCCACCCTTGTTCTCGATTTCGTGATAACATTTTACGATTCAAGTGGAAAGCAAATGGGTAACGCATTAAATTGAGAACGTTTATCTATCTCCAGATTGGAAACGCTGCATTTCGGAGAATATTCGTAAATTAGAAAAATGGTAGGTTATGATAAATAAAAACCAGTCACGAATTTTTAGATGACTGTGAATAATTTTATAAAATGGGTCTGTACCACGAATTAGTATTATCATGAATGTGAGGTAGCTTAATAATAGTCCGTGGTACACACCCTTTTTTCGAATTATTAACATTTGACTGAAACTTCATAAACAGTTTCATCTCATCGTAACCTACAACTATTTTATTTACGAAATCTCTTGGAATTGGGGCGTTTTCAAACATTGTCTATTTAATTAGGTACTAAAAACTCGTAAATACACATTTGCTTTCTATTTGGATCGTAAGATAATTTGATCATAAAATCGAGTAAAAAGGTGGCCTTAAAAAATATTGAGCCGTTTGGCGAGACCTGCACCCCACAATTTCAAAATAAAGAGAGTATATAGAACAAACGGCCCAATATTTTTGTAGGCCACCTTTTTTATCTATTTTGTGATTGACAAATTATCTTACGATCCAAGCAGAAAGCAAATGTGCATTTTCGAGTTTTTTGTACCTAATTAAATAAACAAACTTTACCCTCCGCCAGATTGAAAACGCCCCAATTCCAAGACTTTTCGTAAGTAAAATAGAAGTAGTTTACGATGGGATGAAACCAGTTATGAAGTATCAGGCGGATGTTAATAATTTGATAACAAGAGGTCTGTACCACGGACTATAATGCTGTGCAATCAAAAATAACATTTTAACCATTAAGTTAAAGAATAGTTTAACAATATATTTTCAATATAGTATAAAGTGGATTTTCTAAAATATAATTTCGTCGACATAGATATTGGGACCAGATATTCTTTTGTAAACTTTAGATTTCTTTTTATAGGTAATATCGTGGGTTTATGGCAATATTTCATTTAGTAGCTTATGGTAAAATATAATTATGAAGTACTTTAATGAATTTTACATTCATGAAATCAGAATATGGTTACTGACGTGAAATTTAATTTCTAAATTAAAAATTAATGAAATTCAGAAGTTAATGATGTGGTTTATAAGAACAGCAATTCAGCTTTCCAATGCTTGTACATACTTTGAATTTAGAGAAAATTTTGAAAAAAAGTTATAAACGTTTTAGTTAACGGTCGGAAAAGCAATCCTCCTAGAAAATCGAGTACCGAAGTCAGAAATTTTTATGCCCATGAAAAATCGTATTTATGAATTTTAAAGGACATTATAAATTAATGTTGACTATGATCTTTGACATAAAAAAAAAAAATTACTCGGCATACTTTACTGGAAGCGACTTATGGTTTCTTTTGGATACTTTATGATTCATTTACTACTACAAGAATCATTTTTCTCTTATTACAGAAAAAAAATATATATATCAAGGGCAAAAATGAATAATATCACTTATATTTTAAATTATATAAATATTTTTTCGGCTCCTAGGTCGCATTACCAAGAAAACTCGGACATGGGTCTTATATTTTTCGACCTAGTATCACCAAAACAAGTTTCATCGAAATCGGTGATCCCACGTCCGTAATTTGTAAGTATAACTATTTTTAATATATAATAGGGATTTTGTTAATTTGATAGACAATGTATTTTCGCATCTATGATTCAGAAAAATTTCGACGTTTAGCTAAATTAGATACGTTCTTGGTAACTTTTTGCTTTAACAGAAAATTAGATCGATTCTATGTTTCGCGGAGTTAGGAGGATTTTTTGCGGATACATTTGTTTTTATTGGGTCGATGTATTCTAAGCATTATAACATAAATAATATAATTTGAAATATATCTCTTACCTAAGCTGATTTTACTCTTAAGTGGAGGTGTTTCATCGTACGTTTCTTCGCTCATTTAAGAAAACAATAACATAACCTAAAAAAATGCCGATTTCGAGATATTCTCACAGCTGTGCTGATTTGCTGGCGCTGGGCGAACTCATACGGCCCAAAGTCGGAACTAAAATTTTGTTTTTCCTAAATCCTTATCACTTGCAAAATGTGCATACATTTGAAAATTTACTACATTATTTCTCAATAGATGTACGTATTAGTCAGTAATGTCGAAGAGATAGAGAATATAACGTTTCTTTCAGCTTTGGGCCGCGATATTTTGCTCTCGGGATAATAACTAATTTTGGTCGAACAAAGGAATATTAATTCCCATGAACGGATTCAAGAATGCTGTGGAAGATTATTGGTACTGCCATATATAAATGAGTCGGGACACTTAGCCCCTATAAAGTAATTTCTTGATCCTTTAATGTGTTAAGGAAATGTGTTGGAACGTGCGTGTGATGACGAGATGACAGCTTAATTTGACATGACAGTAACTTTCATGACTGCCTCAGTGTCGTATTAGACTCCTCTTTATCAAATTATTAACAACCGCCCAAAACTTCGTGAATAGCTTCATCTTATCGCAATCTAAATTTTTTTTTTATTTACGAAAATTATCGAAATGGAGGAGTTTCCAATCTGGAGCTCGGCAAACTATGTCTATCTAATTAGTTACTAAAAACTCATGATCACTCATTTGCTTCCAGCTTAATTTGCTCACACAATCTAGAAAAAATGTGGCCTGTAAAGAGTCGTTTGGCATGACCTACTTCCCCAAAAAGTCAAAATAACGAGGTTATGTAGGCCAAACGGCCCAACCTTTTTGTAGGATACATTTATTTGATCAAATTATCTTACGATTCAAGTGGAAAGCAAATGGGTATTAATGAGTTTTTACTGCCTCATCTCATTAAATTAATTAATTTAATGAGAAAACGCCCAATTCTGAGAACTTTCGTAGATAAAGTAATTGTACGTTACGATAAGATAAAGCCATTCACGAAGTTTTAGGCGGATGTTTATAATTTACTAAAAAGAAGTCTGTACTACGGCCTATATTCTTTTTAAATGCTTTCTGAGAATCAGAGAACCCAGAGGGGGGTTTTATGGGGCAAGTTTTGACGAGTTTTTGAATTTTTGAGGAGGGCACATTTCAAAAGAGTTATGAATTTTTGGAATGAAAAGTTTCAGAATAAGCAACATTGGGAAACCATAGAACAGACGGCAGGAAGTGTAATCGTGCACTATCTACGATTTTTCTAATTCTACTTTCGATTGCTCTGTTTTTAAGAAAAGGTGTGCAATAAAATATCATGGGATGATGGGAGTGGGGGAGGGGAGTAGGTAGAAACAAGCTGGTTTGTGAAGCTACTGAGATCATGAAGTTATTGTTTGGAATAATAAGCTTTTATGAATAATTCGTCTATTATACAATTTGAATCATCGATGATTTACCAAGGATTTGGAATCCGGATCCGATGATTTAATCGTGTCTTACAATTATGCGAAACTATACTATTATAATTATAATTATAATTATTATCAATAACTATAATTATGTACTATTATAATTATAATATTTAGAATCAGAGTAAAAGACATCAGAAATAGAATCAGAGCGACGTGTTTTACAAACATATTCTATTTACTATTAGCATTCTGTAAAGTATACACTCTTATATTGATCTAATTTATGATATTTTGAATAATTGCATAATGTTTATGTACATTCACTATCCCTTGCTGAAATTAAAGCCTAAAACTCGTTTAACTGTTATTGGAGATAAGCCGATTACTAAATAAGTGAGCTAGAGAACTTTTCATGTAAATTGCAATTTAAACAAAATTAAGGGCGCAAATCGAGTTAAAACCGTTTGTTCTAAAAGTGAAAAATTGAATTACTGCTTTTCCATTAAAGCACTGGCTACATTAACCCATAATGTGGTTAGAGTTTTAAGCAAGCGTGGCTTAAAATACCTAGGCATCCCCTTAGCTAAGTGTTTTCAGCTTCTGGGATAAAAATTTCACGATTACCGTTATATTATCTTCCTCTGGCACCGCATCCTAAATGCCCAACCGTATTAATTATCGATTTAAACGTTTTGAATTAAAAGAAATAATAAATCTATAGTAAAAAAAAAAATGTCTCAACTAAATTATTTAAATTAGGAATTGGGTATTGTGACTCTCAAGTCCAGGTTCGAGATTGGCTAGGTAAATAAAAATAAAAAATAATAATAAAAGGAAAAAACAAAAAAGGCTTATTTTCAGGAACAAAATTTGTTTGAAGTTTTGCTGATAATGTGGGTTCTATGATCTCTAGCCTTCATTACCACCATTATTTATAGTTTAGTACTGATGGTGGGACTACAACGA